TCCGCCTCCAAGTACGCAGAAACTCTCTCGGCCAAGTTCAACATCCCACCTGCCAATCTCTCAACCCCTTACCGCAACCCAGCCACTCCTCACCACCCCGACACCACCCCACTCAACCCATCTGGACATCAGCTCTACCAGCAGCAGCTCGGCTGCCTCCTGTTCGCTGCGGTCACGTGCAGGCCTGACTTATCATACATCTCGAGCCAGCTTGCTCAGTATGCTAAGCGGCCTGAAGGGGAGCACATGTTGGATTTACAGCGCGCTCTGCAGTACTTCATCTCCACACCTCTGATCGGCCTCACCTATTCAACCCTCACGACCCGCTCCTTCAGCCTCGTTGGCTACGTGGACGCAGATCATGCTGCCGACCCTGCAAATCGACGATCCCGAACCGGTTTTCTTTTTCGCCTCGAACCTACTGGCCCAATTTCCTGGAACTCCCAGAAGCAGGAAATGGTAGCACTCTCCTCCGCCGAAGCCGAGTTCATTGCTGCCACGTCAGCAGTCCGCGAAGGACTCTATCTTCAGGAACTTCTCCAAGAGGCGAAAATTGCGACATCCGCGAGCTTCAAACTTCACTGCGACAACCAGAGTGCGATCAAGATCGCGAACAAGCATGGCTTCGTCAACCGCACAAAGCACATCGCACTCCGCTACTTCTTCGTCAAAGACGAAGTTGACAAAGGCAAAGTCATCTTGACTTACTGCCCCACTGGTGACATGGCAGCCGACTTCCTCACCAAGAAACTGCCACGTCAGCAGTACCACCACTGCGGAAACATCTGCGGTATAACCAAGCGCGTCAAGACTTCGCTTCTCCAGGAATGAAGGGGAGTGTTACGATATGGAATTGTTGAATAAACATTCCTGAGTAACGAAACCTTAACGCGAAGATGACTGCAGCGAGGACGAAGACCGAGCGACAAGACAGTTATCGAAGACAGTTGCAAGCAGGAAGAATTCAAAGTGCAAAGCGCGGGAAAACTTCAAACGGTTACCAGACCGCGTACGGTTACCGAGCCGCACGCCAGGAGAGGGTGGAACAGGGAAGGGCAGGATAGTTGGGGTGCGGTTGGTGGAGTGGACGTTTGTTACAGCGCAACGGGAAAGCAGAATCATAACCTGAGTGAAAGATACCGTATGAGGCGTCGAGTGAAATACATACCGTTTGTATGGAAATATACAATGCTATGTATGGTTACAGTGAACCCATATTGTACATCATGACTATAGGAGGCAAACACAATCAATCTAGCCATGCCAGTAAGACACATCAATGATCACCAGCAACCCAAAGCCGCGTTCGCCTCTCAGGCCCCATTCAGAACGCATGGCCTGAGCAGTGAGAAGCATGGGTGCATGTGCAACTGGGTTGGAATGATTGGCCGGAGGTTACGAAACTTGGGCATGAGCAGCAACACGCGTCATATGCAGAAATGGATGCAAGCAAACCGCGAGTTGTGCAAGCAAAGGCATGTGTGCACATGCACACATGCACACATGCGCACATGAGCACATGCGCACATGCGCACACGCACACATGCGCACATGCGCACATGCGCACACGCACAGTACAGGCGCACATGCGCACAGTACAGGCGCACATGCAAGCGCACCTGGTGGCAGTCACACGAACGGCACACTCGCTCGCTGCCTTCGATCTGCACCTTCAAATCTGCACGATCCAATCCGCACCCTCGAATCTGCACCCTCAAAGCTGTACACTTCAATCTGCACCGTCTGATTTGCACCCTTTGTTTTGCACCTTCCGATCCACATCCTCCAATCTGCACCTTCGGTTCTGCACCCTTTGATCTGCACCCTCCAATCTGCACCCTCCATCTACCCCCTTCGTTCTGCACCCTCCAATCTGCACCCTCCATCTACCCCCTTCGTTCTGCACCCTCCAATCTGCACCCTCCATTCTGCAACCTCCGTTCTTCACCCTCCAATCTGCAACCTCCGATCTGCACACTCCGATCTGCACACTCCGATCTGCACCCTTGGATCTGCAACCTTCGATCTGCACCCTCCGATCTGGGCGATTCGCACCACACAGCTCGCCACCATGCCCTTAGCCCCCATTCACCCATCCTTTAGTATCCCATCATTCATCCCATTCATTCACAGCTCGCCCCCCACCATGGCCATCGTCACCTTTCCCCCATCCAGTCATCCTAGGTAACCCACCTCCCCCGCCTCCTCCACCGCCCCCACCACCTCCGCCACTCGCCACAGCCCTCACCATCGTCACCATCGCCCCCGCGCAACCTCATTCCAATTCCATCAACTTTGGAGCGCCTTGAAACATTCACTCACAATGCCTTTGACTCAAAATAAATACCGCCTCGTTCGACGACAATCGCCTTTGCACGCCTTCACGCTGAGGCTCGGACCGTTATTCTGTCAACCTTGAAGTCGACGGTCGACGCGCCGAGCCTGAACCTTCGATAGTCACTCGACATGCGCCCACTCACACACACCGCACTGCTCGCCCCAGCCATCGCCACCATCCCGTTGCCTCGCCCACATGCTCCCCACACCCCATGCTCTCCACAACACCAATCGCCTTCGCATGCGCGCACTCGCACCACACTGCCCGCCCCGGACACCTCCGACTCGATTTCCGAGACTCAATAATCAGCTCGGCAGTCACTCCGAGCCGTCAGCGGCAGGGCGAGGCACGAACATGATGATACACGCTCCCCCAACCGCCACCGCAACCGCAACCGAGGGGAATTTCCGGTGACTCAACCGTCAGCCGCAGGGCGCGGGACGAACATGATGATACACGCTCCCCCCACCGCCACCGCCGCTCCCACCAAGTCCCACACGTCCGGAGCCGTCCGATCGACGGCCCATCCCCACAGCAGCGCGAGCAGGATGAAGATCCCACCGTACGCTGCGTACGTGCGCGCGAAGGAAGCATCCTGGAAGGTGGCGACTTTTCCGTAACCGAAGAGAATCGCGGCGCCGAGGAAGCACCAGGCCCAATGCCAGCCGTTGATTCGCCATTGCCACACAAACCAACCGCCGGAAATTTCGAGGATCCCGGCCGCGACGAAGAGCGCGAGCGACTTGAGGACGTCGAGCGGCGCGTACTTCATGCCGCGATGCGTGCGCGCGTGGGAGATTGGACACGAACGCGGCGATGCTAGATCGACTTGAGAACGTCGAGCGGCGAGTACAAGTTCATGCCGCGATGCCGCAATGCCGGATCTGAGTGCGTGCGTGCGTGCTGGATCGGAGGCGAACTAGTGCGGGTTAGGTCAGGGCGATGCCGAATGGGACGGCGTGTTTAGAGTCGTCTCAAGAATCGACTTGAGAACGTCGAGCGGCGCGTACTTCATGCCGCGATATGCAATGCCGCCCGCAATGCGGCAATGCCGGCGCTGCGAGCGTACGTTTGAGCTGGATGGGACACGAACTAAGTGTGGCTTAGGTCAGGGCAATGCCGAATGGGACGGTGGAGTCTACTCAAAACTGCGACCTGAGGACGTCGAGCGGCGCATCATACTTCATACTGCATTGCCGCGGCTGCGTGCGAGCTAGCTAGCTCGGAGCCTCGGACACGAACTAAGTGTGGGTAAGATGAGGGTGATGGCCAATGGGACAGCAACATTTGTTTCGAGCAAACCAACCAGCCACCCTGTGCGCCAACCTTGTCGATCACCTCGTCGCAGAGAGAGGATAACGAAGGTGCCCGAGTAGAGTTGCGACATTGTGCCATATCATTTGGCATGTGCGAATTCATTTCGAGTGTCGCGTGGGCAGACGAAAACCGTCGCCCAACATGAAAGTACGGAGTTGACTCAAGAGCAGTTTCGTCACTCACGAATGTCGCAAATCTTACTCGTCTCGCAGAGACACTCTCACAGAGTGCCGAAAACTCGCCACACGAAGGCTGGTCGCCCAGCGGGGCGGTTAGAAAGTTGTAATTCGTCGCCCTTCGCGAACACAGACGAATCTTACGGTCGACCGGATTGTCGACCAGAGCACGATCAACAGAAGCTCGCCGGAAAATGAACGGAACGATATTTCTGACACTTGACGTACGTAGCTCGACTCTAAGTCGAGCCAGGTCTCATTTGGCTTGCAGTGCAGATCGTGTTTGTGATTGTGTCACACTCCTTGCGCGTGTCTCGGAAAGCACGTCGCGAAGATTGCACCCTATTTGAAGGTTTGTGCGCACCCACGGCTCAATTCCCGTGACATTGTTACCCGCAGAACCATCCTCGTTCTGCACGACTATTAGGTTGCATGGCATAATCACAACACGACTCGAGCCGTTGAGTGAAAGAGTCTCGCTTCTCTTTTTTCCACATGTACGTGCCACGTGGCGTACCGTCAACATCCCAGACTGAGTCCATCTGTAGGTTCGGCGAACCCAGGCTGGAGGCCACGGTCCCAGACCGGCAGTTCCGGGAACCGAAGAGTCAAGACCAGCAGCCAGCGAAGCGAACCAGGTTCATGGAGGTTCGGATCTGCCCGAACGAGCTCCAGGCTTGCGCCTGGGAAATGTCGACCGCTCTGCGGCCCTACCAGAGCTTGCGGTTCTCGCATGCGGCTCGGCTGGGAGCACGAACGAAGGAACGGGCGGCGACAGAGTCAGAAGGTGCATCAGAAAGTGGCTCAGACGTTCCTGTTACCGCTGATATTGGTTGTATCGTGTTCCTGTCGGTTTCTTCACGCCTTGACATCGGCTACTTGGAAGATACGCTAACGTATCGGATCCACCGCAAGCCGTCGTGACGCCAGGAAGCAATAGCAGGGTGGAAGGGCCGAAGGGAGGGGCGTGAGTGCGCACTGCGTGGGGGGGAGGCTGCAGGAGCAAGCGGGGGCGGCGGAGGAGCAGGAAGCGCTAAGGACAGGGAGTGCGGGAAAGCTCCGATAGGGGCAGGGCAAGAGGGCAGGGCGGCAGCAGCCTGCCTGAGGCAGAGGGGTAGGGATGGATGGGTGGGCGTTGGTGGCGAGCGGTGGTGGGGAGCCTGAGCCTCATGCAGCGAGGCAAGGCGCCCCTGCGGTGCAGCAGAGGTCCCTGGCAGGGTGGGTGGACTGGGGGACCCAAGGGGGCTGCTGGGGCGGAGGGGTTTGGGGGGGCGGAGCAGATGGGCGCTCCAGGGGGTGTCTGGGGAGGGGGAGTTGCGCCAGGTAGGGGAGGGGGATGGGGGTCGCTGCTGGCTGTGTGTGTGGCAGGGGCGGCTGGGTGTGCGGTGATGGAGCTGGGGTTGGAAAAGGGAAAAGAAGCTGCTGGCGTGATGGCGGATGCACGGAGGCATCTGCAGAGGGATTGGCTGCTGCTACGGGTGGAGTGTGCTGACGTGGCTGGTCTTGGTGCTAGTATCAAACCTGATGATAGCGGATCGTTATTGAAAAACCGTGAATCTGGTGGCGTTGGTGGGGCTGGTGGGGCAGGTGGGGCTGGTGGTGGGAATCAGAGCAACAGCAGCGTTGTTTCACACACCAGCAGTGAAATCGCTGATGACAAGTCCAGTGGCGGCACTAAGGGCAGGAAGCGTGTGGTGGTGCTGGGGTCGGGGTGGGGCGCCGTGAGCTTCCTTAAAGCCATAGACGCCAATGGGTACGATGTGACGCTCATCTCGCCCCGCAACTTCTTCCTCTTCACCCCGCTGCTGCCAAGTGTCACCACGGGAGTGGTCGAGGGAAGGAGTTTCGCTGAGCCAATCAGACGCATCTTGTTGAGGGTAAGATTCTAATCAAGTGCTGCCAGCAATGTTCAACAATCAGTGGGATTATCAAGGGCCCTACTCCTTCTACCTGTTTCATATCTCGTGACCTATCCATCCTTCTATCTCCCTCCTCCCCTCGCCCCACCCCACTCACCTCCTCTTCCGCCCAGCTTCCTCTCGCTCTCCTATCAGCACAGCAGGGCAGCTCAGCTCGTTTCATTGCAGCCAAGTCCTCGAGGCGGGCCACCATTGGAACTTCAAGGCGGTGTCCCCCTCATTCGACTTACCACTGCTCTCCACGTCCACCCTGCGCCCACACACATCCCCCTTGCCTCCCTCCTCCCCCGATCCCCCTCTCCCTGTGCTGGCAGCACGGCAGCTCGGCGCGCCTCCTCGAGGCGGAGTGCACGGCCATTGGCCCCCCATTCGACCTGCAACTGGCTGTTCTCCCAATCCACCCCGCCATCATACCTTCTTCGCCCTTTCTCCACTCCATCCCTTCCCCTTCTCTCTCCTGGCAGCGCGGTAGCTCAGCTCCCTTCCTCGAGGCTGAGTGCACAGCCACATGAACTACAACTGGCTGCTCTCCCTTCCTTCCCCACCCCTTCCCCCGCTCTCCTTGCTGGCAGCATGGCAGCTCAGCTCGCTTCCTAGAGGCGGAGTGCATTGCCATCGACCCCGCCTCCAAGACCCTCTCCTGCCGCGCCCCTGCCGCCCTGCCCGCTCCGCTGCCGCCTGCCACCCTGCCCCCTCCGCTGCCTGTGCCGACTGTGGCAGAGGTTGGAGGCCAGGAGGAGGGTGAGGGGGAGACGACACGTGGAGGAGCTGAAAGAAAAGGTGGTGGCGCTTCCGGTGGCGATAGTGGTGCTGCTGCCGGAGGTGGTGATTCTGCTGCTCCGAGTGGTGGTGCTGCTGCTGGGAGTGGTAGTGATGCTGCTGCTGGAAACGTAGCTGTTGCTGGGGGTAATGCGGGAGGAGGTGGCGGCGAGAGTGGCGGCGGGTGTGGCGGCGGGTGTGGCGGCGCCAGGGAGGGCGGGTATGGGGGTGCCAGGGAGGTGTGGTTCACAGTGCCGTACGACATGCTGGTGGTGGCCGTGGGGGCGGTCCCCAACACATTTAACGTGCCGGGCGTGCAGCAGCACTGCCACTTCCTCAAGGTGAGCTTCGATCACAACGCCCTGGGCACTGGGCACTGCGCAGGGCACTGGGAGTCGGTCAAGTCCCGTGCTGCCGCAGGGAAGGCACCTGGTGGTTGCCTCCTGCCGCAAGTGCCTCGTTGCCCATTGCTGCGTCGCTGGCTGCTTGATCCTTTGTTTTACCCAATGCTGCGTCTTACCCAATGTTTTGCTTCTAGCTGTCAAGCCTGGTCAATCACGCTACCCTCCCTGTCCCACTTTCCTCGTTTCCCCGTTCTGCCTGCTCGTGCCTATCCCCCTCTTCCCATCTTTGCTCTTTCTGCCCGTCCATGTCTCCTCCCCATCCCCCTCTCCTCCCCATCCCTCCCGTCCATCCTTTCAATGCACGTTTTTTCCCCCATCCCTCTCCCCCCATCCCTCTCCCCCCATCCCTCTCCCCCCATCCGTCTCCCCCCATTCCCTCTCTCCCCATCCCTCTCCCCCCATCCCTCTCCCCCCATCCCTCTCTCCCCATTCCCTCCCCCCATCCCTCTCCCCCCATTTCCCGCTCCCCCCATCCCTTTCCCCCATCTTCCTCCTCGCATGCCGTCTTCACCATCGCTCCCCCCCACTCCTCTCTCCCCATGCCAGTCGCTGGACGATGCGGAGGCCATCAGAAACACGCTCATTGACCGCTGCGAGGAGGCCCCCCTTTAACCCCTATCCCCGCCCGCCATCCCACTGCCCCCATCCCTCTCCCCATCCCACCATCAGTCGCTGGACGATGCGGAGGCCATCAGAAACACGCTCATTGACCGCTGCGAGGAGGCCCCCCTTTAACCCCTATCCCCGCCCGCCATCCCACTGCCCCCATCCCTCTCCCCATCCCACCATCAGTCGCTGGACGATGCAGAGGCCATCAGAAACACGCTCATTGACCGCTGCGAGGAGGCCCCCCTTTAACCCCTATCCCCGCCCGCCATCCCACTGCCCCCATCCCTCTCCCCATCCCACCATCAGTCGCTGGACGATGCGGAGGCCATCAGAAACACGCTCATTGACCGCTGCGAGGAGGCCCCCCTTTAACCCCTATCCCCGCCCGCCATCCCACTGCCCCCATCCCTCTCCCCATCCCACCATCAGTCGCTGGACGATGCGGAGGCCATCAGAAACACGCTCATTGACCGCTGCGAGGAGGCCCCCCTTTAACCCCTATCCCCGCCCGCCATCCCACTGCCCCCATCCCTCTCCCCATCCCACCATCAGTCGCTGGACGATGCGGAGGCCATCAGAAACACGCTCATTGACCGCTGCGAGGAGGCCCCCCTTTAACCCCTATCCCCGCCCGCCATCCCACTGCCCCCATCCCTCTCCCCATCCCACCATCAGTCGCTGGACGATGCGGAGGCCATCAGAAACACGCTCATTGACCGCTGCGAGGAGGCCCCCCTTTAACCCCTATCCCCGCCCGCCATCCCACTGCCCCCATCCCTCTCCCCATCCCACCATCAGTCGCTGGACGATGCGGAGGCCATCAGAAACACGCTCATTGACCGCTGCGAGGAGGCCCCCCTTTAACCCCTATCCCCGCCCGCCATCCCACTGCCCCCATCCCTCTCCCCATCCCACCATCAGTCGCTGGACGATGCGGAGGCCATCAGAAACACGCTCATTGACCGCTGCGAGGAGGCCCCCCTTTAACCCCTATCCCCGCCCGCCATCCCACTGCCCCCATCCCTCTCCCCATCCCACCATCAGTCGCTGGACGATGCGGAGGCCATCAGAAACACGCTCATTGACCGCTGCGAGGAGGCCCCCCTTTAACCCCTATCCCCGCCCGCCATCCCACTGCCCCCATCCCTCTCCCCATCCCACCATCAGTCGCTGGACGATGCGGAGGCCATCAGAAACACGCTCATTGACCGCTGCGAGGAGGCCCCCCTTTAACCCCTATCCCCGCCCGCCATCCCACTGCCCCCATCCCTCTCCCCATCCCACCATCAGTCGCTGGACGATGCGGAGGCCATCAGAAACACGCTCATTGACCGCTGCGAGGAGGCCCCCCTTTAACCCCTATCCCCGCCCGCCATCCCACTGCCCCCATCCCTCTCCCCATCCCACCATCAGTCGCTGGACGATGCGGAGGCCATCAGAAACACGCTCATTGACCGCTGCGAGGAGGCCCCCCTTTAACCCCTATCCCCGCCCGCCATCCCACTGCCCCCATCCCTCTCCCCATCCCACCATCAGTCGCTGGACGATGCGGAGGCCATCAGAAACACGCTCATTGACCGCTGCGAGGAGGCCCCCCTTTAACCCCTATCCCCGCCCGCCATCCCACTGCCCCCATCCCTCTCCCCATCCCACCATCAGTCGCTGGACGATGCAGAGGCCATCAGAAACACGCTCATTGACCGCTGCGAGGAGGCCCCCCTTTAACCCCTATCCCCGCCCGCCATCCCACTGCCCCCATCCCTCTCCCCATCCCACCATCAGTCGCTGGACGATGCGGAGGCCATCAGAAACACGCTCATTGACCGCTGCGAGGAGGCCCCCCTTTAACCCCTATCCCCGCCCGCCATCCCACTGCCCCCATCCCTCTCCCCATCCCACCATCAGTCGCTGGACGATGCGGAGGCCATCAGAAACACGCTCATTGACCGCTGCGAGGAGGCCCCCCTTTAACCCCTATCCCCGCCCGCCATCCCACTGCCCCCATCCCTCTCCCCATCCCACCATCAGTCGCTGGACGATGCGGAGGCCATCAGAAACACGCTCATTGACCGCTGCGAGGAGGCCCCCCTTTAACCCCTATCCCCGCCCGCCATCCCACTGCCCCCATCCCTCTCCCCATCCCACCATCAGTCGCTGGACGATGCGGAGGCCATCAGAAACACGCTCATTGACCGCTGCGAGGAGGCCCCCCTTTAACCCCTATCCCCGCCCGCCATCCCACTGCCCCCATCCCTCTCCCCATCCCACCATCAGTCGCTGGACGATGCAGAGGCCATCAGAAACACGCTCATTGACCGCTGCGAGGAGGCCCCCCTTTAACCCCTATCCCCGCCCGCCATCCCACTGCCCCCATCCCTCTCCCCATCCCACCATCAGTCGCTGGACGATGCGGAGGCCATCAGAAACACGCTCATTGACCGCTGCGAGGAGGCCCCCCTTTAACCCCTATCCCCGCCCGCCATCCCACTGCCCCCATCCCTCTCCCCATCCCACCATCAGTCGCTGGACGATGCGGAGGCCATCAGAAACACGCTCATTGACCGCTGCGAGGCGGCGTGCCTACCGGGGATAGAAGCAGACGAGCAACAGAGGTACCCTCTTAGGAGATCCAGAGGTAGCAAGCTAGCTCCACCGCGCCCCCATACTGTGCTGTGCCTCTCTCCTCCCTGTAGCTCCAACCCACCTCTTTCGCCCTCCATCCATCGCTTGTTTGCCTCTCCTAGCCTTCCGCCACTACCTTATGCACGCTTCTATGCCCCTCTGCACCCTATTGCAAATAGATCTTGCAAACTATCACTCAAATCCTCTGTACTTCGCTATGCCCCACTGCCCAAGCCCCAGCCCACACCCCTCACCCCAAAACCCTCCTGCCCCACCCTTCGCCCCCAGTGGGGGCCCCCCACCCCTCGCCCCTTGCCCCTCGCCCCCACCCCTCGCCCCTTGCCCCTCGCCCCCACCCCTCGCCCCTTGCCCCTCGCCCCCACCCCTCGCCCCTTGCCCCTCGCCCCCACCCCTCGCCCCTTGCCCCTCGCCCCCACCCCTCGCCCCTTGCCCCTCGCCCCCACCCCTCGCCCCTTGCCCCTCGCCCCTCGCCCCGTCCACCACTTTCTCGCCCATCCCTCCCTCCATCTTGCCAAGACCCTATCTTATTGCACACTCTCGCTGCACCCCTCCGCAGCACTCCTCTGCACCCATCAGCACCCCAATGCACCCCATTAAGGAGAGATCATTGGCAGGCTCTACGCTTTCAGCCACTGCATCTTGCCATGTCTCTCGCTCACTGCCTGCCCACCGGATTTTTCTGCACCCCTGGCCCCTCACTCCTGGCCCCTCACCCCTCACCCCTCACCCCTCACCCGTCACCCCTCATTCCTCATCCTTCACTCCTCAACCCTGCCCCCAGGCTGAGGTGAGGTGTAAGATGGCGCAGCCTCACTTCTTCTTGTCTTACTTCCCATCCCATCCATCACCCCCTCCCCTCTCCCCCCAGGCTGCTGCACGTCGTGGTGGTGGGGGGCGGTCCCACGGGGGTGGAGGTGAGTTGAGAGGGTGCCGCATTTCTTGTCTTGCCTTCCCATCACCCTCCTTGTGCTACCATCCAAACCCCCAGGCTGCTGCACGTCGTGGTGGTGGGGGGCGGTCCCACGGGGGTGGAGGTGGCAGCAGCTGTGCACGACATGGTGCAGGGGGACCTATACCGCCTCTATCCTGCACTCAAGGGGAAGACATCTGTGTCTCTCCTGCAGTCAGGCGACCACATTCTCAACATGTGAGATAAAACTGGGTGCTCTTGGGGGGGCGTGCTTGTGGGGAGGGTGGCAGCAGCAGTGCACGACATGGTGCAGGGGGACCTCTACCGCCTCTACCCTGCTCTCAAGGGGAAAGCCTCTGTGTCTTTGCTGCAGTTAGGGGATCACATTCTCAACATGTGAGATGGGATTGAGGTGCTCTCAGGGGGGTTGCCTTTCTTCGCGGGGAAGGGGTGGAGGTGGCAGCAGCAGTGCACGACATGGTAGAGGGCGACCTATACCGCCTCTACCCTTCCCTCAAGGGCAAGGCGTCTGTCTCTCCGCTGCAGTCAGGCGACCACATTCTCAACATGTGAGATTGGGTTCTCTGAGGGGGTGTTCGAGAGCATGTAGTTTGATGCATGACATAGGCGACCTCTACCGCCTCTACCCTGCTCTCAAGGGAGGGGGGCTCTGTGTCTGCTGCAGTCAGGAAACCACATTCTGAACATGTGAGATGGGGTGAGGCATGCGGTGAATGGCATAGGGGACCTGTCTGTACCTCCTCTACCCTGCCCTCCATGGCAATGACTCCGCTTCTCTGCTGTAGTCGGGGGAACACATACCAGGTGGTGCTGTCAGTGCCACGAGCCATGGCTGGAAATCTTACTCTACAATGCACACCTGCAGAAGGGTGTTTCTGAGAGTTGTCAGAAACAGCGTGCAGCCATGGGTAGGATCTTGAGTCCCACTCGACAATGCACAACTGCACATGGGCCAGCCCTCCCTCCCTCCCCCGTCTGCATCCCTAAGGCCTTCCCCCTCTCAGCTAAAACCTCACTCCCCCGCAACTTCCTCCCCCTGCCCCCCCCCCTGCCTGCCCTCCACCTGCCCCCCCCCCCCTGCCCCTTGGTGCCGCCCGCTATCAGGTTTGATCTGCGCATATCTGAGTTTGCCGCCCGCAAGTTCCAGCGGGACGGCATCACTGTTCACACGCACGCGCGCGTCACGGCTGTCACTCCGCGCGCTCTCCATGTGCGGGAGACGAGCAGCAGCAGGGAGAGCGGCAGCAGCGATGGCAGCAAGAGTGGAGTGCACTGCCGCAGCAGTGCGGAGAGCAGTAGTGGTGCAAAGAGCAGCGGGGAGAGGGAGGTGCCGTATGGAGTGGTGGTGTGGGCAACAGGCATCACGGCGCATCCCCTGGTTGTGAAGCTGCGGGAGCAACTTGAGCAGGTAAGGTTTGGGGCAGGTACAAACTGTGAACAGAGCGGTGGTGCGAAAAGCAGGAGGCAGAGGGAGGTGCCGTATGCGTATGGAGTGGTGGTGTGGGAGCGACAGGCATCACGGCCCATCCCCTGGTTGTGTAGTTGAGAGAGCAACTGAGGCAGGTAAATTGACACCAGAGTGGATGGCAGTGAGTGGATGGTAGTTTGTTGTTCCAACATCACACCCCCTCTCTTCTCCCCATTGGAGCACCACAAGCGGAGATGGATGGTGGATGCAGTGAGGGGGCACACACCACTCTCATCACGTCCTCTTCTGTTTTCCCTCTTCGCTCCACCTCTTCTGAATCCTGCTTACATTCCCCCTTCCCGCCTACACCGTTGCAGCACCACAAGCGTGCATTAGAGGTAGACGAGTGGATGGCAGGGAGAGGGGCAGACAGCATGATCACTGTGCACTCTTCAAAATTTTCTCTTTCTGCTCCACCTTTTCCGCCAACCCCCACCACCCACCCCCAACCCCTGCAGCGCCACAAGCGAGCATTGGAGGTGGACGAGTGGATGGCAGTGAGAGGCGCAGAGGCGGGCAGCATGTGGGCGCTGGGCGACTGTGCTGCCATTCACCACCGCCCCTTCACTGTGAGATGCAATACAGGGTGCTTGAGTTGTAGAAACTTGAGCATCGCCCCTTCACTGTGAGCATCGCCCCTTTACTGTGAGCATCGCCCCTTCACTGTGAGAATCGCCCCTTTACTGTGAGCATCGCCCCTTCACTGTGAGCATCGCCCCTTTACTGTGAGCATCGCCCCTTTACTGTGAGCATCGCCCCTTCACTGTGAGCATCGCCCCTTTACTGTGAGCATCGCCCCTTCACTGTGAGCATCGCCCCTTCACTGTGAGCATCGCCCCTTTACTGTGAGCATCGCCCCTTCACTGTGAGCATCGCCCCTTTACTGTGAGCATCGCCCCTTCACTGTGAGCATCGCCCCTTCACTGTGAGCATCGCCCCTTTACTGTGAGCATCGCCCCTTCACTGTGAGCATCGCCCCTTTACTGTGAGCATCGCCCCTTCACTGTGAGCATCGCCCCTTCACTGTGAGCATCGCCCCTTTACTGTGAGCATCGCCCCTTCACTGTGAGCATCGCCCCTTTACTGTGAGCATCGCCCCTTCACTGTGAGCATCGCCCCTTCACTGTGAGCATCGCCCCTTTACTGTGAGCATCGCCCCTTCACTGTGAGCATCGCCCCTTTACTGTGAGCTTGAGTGAGGCAGTGAAGGGGCGGCATGGCAGCTTGCGAGGCGAGGAGCATGTGAGGCGGGGAGCATGTGAGGCGGGGAGCATGTGACGGGGCAGCATGAGAGGGGGGCAGCATGCGAGGGGGGCAGCATGTGAGGGGGGCAGCATGTGAGGGGGGCAGCATGTGAGGGGGGCAGCATGTGAGGGGGCAGCATGTGAGGGGGCAGCATGTGAGGGGGGCAGCATATGGAGCTGTCTGTCCCCATCAGCCCCCTCTCCCACCCCCTCCACCTACACTTCCCTTCACCCCTCTTCTGTTCCATGCTCTCCCCGTTTCTTCTCAGATCGCAACAGTTCATGTCTTGATTGTTTCCAACAATTCTTGTCGTCCCTTTCCTTGCACTCTCTCCTCCCCTCTTTCTCCCCCCTCACCTCTTTCTCCCCCCTCACCTCTTTCTCCCCCCTCCCCTCTTTCTCCCCCCTCACCTCTTTCTCCCCCCTCACCTCTTTCTCCCCCCTCACCTCTTTCTCCCCCCTCACCTCTTTCTCCCCCCTCACCTCTTTCTCCCCCCTCACCTCTTTCTCCCCCCTCCCCGTTTTCAGGGAGTCAGCGCTCACTTCCACCCCCCCTTCCAACCCCTCACATGATCATTGTGCGTCCTCCAGGACGACACAGCGCGCATCTTCCGCGCCTTTGACACCAACGGGGACGGCTGTCTCTCGCCCTCCGAGACCAAGGCGGCCTTGCGAGCCCTCCAGCAGCGCTACCCGCATGCTGCTGCTCTGCTCAAGTCACGGAACCGCATGGCACAGCTCATTCAGGTACACCCCTGTCCCTTTTCCTGCTGCCACCCAGTCTCCGAGTCCAAGACGACTCGTCAATCCCTCTTACTATAGCTGTGCTGCTCGCATGCTGCCGCTCTGCTCAAGTCAAGGGACCGCATGGCACAGCTCATTCAGGTATACCCCCCTTCCCCCTCACACTGCCCCTGTGCTGTTGTGGAGAGATGGGTCAAGCGAGCTCCTTCTGGTAGATACGGATGGATGCGGTGCGGTTGGTGTTTGGCGGTCTGGGGTCAGTCAAGTCATCCCACCTTCATGCCGCAGGGATGGAAGGAGCGAAGTTTTAACTGCATCTGCTGGCACCGAGCTGCATCTGCTCCTACCCAGCAACATCTGCCTCCACCCAGCTGCATCTGCTCCTACCCAGCTGCATCTGCCTCCACCCAGCTGCATCTGCTCCTACCCAGCTGCATCTGCTCCCACCGAGCTGCATCTGCTCCCACCGAGCTGCATCTGCTCCCACTCAGCTGCATCTGCTATTACCCAGCTACATCTGCTTCTACCCAGCTACATCTGCTTCCACCTTAGCGGATGGAGCTGGGAGGCGTAGGGTTGTGGGAGTGAGGGTGGGGAGGTGGGTGGCAGAGGTAGGGGAGGAGGTGAGCAGGGGGGGCTGTGAACTTACTGTTGCTTGCATGGGACAAACACTGAGACGAAAACAGTTCCAATGCACCCTCCACCCACACCCCATGTTGTTCTCACTTCCACACCCATCCTGCTTTCTCCTTTCCTCTTCCCCTCGCGCCTTTCCCCTTGGTCCCTCGGTTTCTGTTTCCCCCACGAACCGGCGTTGGCAGGATGCCTTGCACGCCGACAGCAAAGCAGAAGCACCACCAGGAGCAGCAGCAGGAGCACCAAAAGCAGCACCAGCAGGAGCAGCAGCAGGAGCACCAAGAGGAGCAGCAGCAGGCACAGGGGCGGTGGGAAATGAGGGGGGCGAGCAGCAGGCGTGTGAGGGCAGGGGGCTATCACTGGAGCAGTTTGAGGCGGTGCTGAGGCGGGTGGAGGGGCAGATGAAGACTCTACCGGCCACGGCACAGGTGGCGGCGCAGCAGGGGCAGTACGTGGCTCGCTGCTTCAACCGCCTGCTGGACCCTGCTCTACCGCCCGAGGGGCCGATGAAGCTGAGAGGCGAGGGCCGGCACCTGCTGCAGCCATTCCGGTGAGTGGAAGGGTGGAATGGGTGGCAGAATGGGATGGTTTGAGGCCAGGATTTCGGTTGGATTTAGATTCACACTTATGGACGTTCCTTGACTTATGTTTGCGGTCTTCAGACTTGGGTCAATCTGGAATGGGAGGAATGTGAGAGCAGCAATGGAGGCCTTCCCTACAGAATTTTGACAATCTGCCACTCGCTCATTCATCTGACTGACTAATGCTTTATCTATCCGAACTGCCCAGTTGAAGTCAATTGCTGCACTCTCACCCCTCCCTCCATGCAACCAGCTACGTGCATTTGGGGCAGTTCGCCCCGCTGGAGTCAGAGACCACGGCAGCACAGCTGCCTATCTATCCCAACGGCTCTGTTTGTGCGAATTGCGTGTGACCCTGCCCCCCGACATGCAACCAGCTATGTTCATTTGGGGCAGTTCGACCCTCCACAGCAGCGACTCTTGTGACGTCCGAAAACTCCCCCCACCCTTTCCCCCCCCCCCCCCCTCCTCCCTCTCCCCCCACGCAACCAGCTACGTCCATTTGGGGCAGTTCGCCCCGCTGGGGTCAGAGACCACGGCAGCAGAGCTGCCTGGCGACTGGGTCAGCATTGGCCGGTCCACACAGTGGCTCTGGTACTCCGTGTATGCCAGGTGGGTGCGCTGTTCATCACTCTGTGTACGCACGTGGGTGTGTTGTGCAATGTGGGTGCATGCACTCCTGTGCTTGGATTAGAGGCTCATGGAATGTGGAGGGGCAGCTCGCCCCTCTCAAGCTGCCTGGCGACTGGGTCGGCATTGGCAGGTCCACGCAGTGGCTCTGGTGCTCCGTGTATGTCACGTGGGTGCGCTGTGCAGTATGGTTGCATCATTTGCAGGTCCACACATGGCTCTGGTTCTACGCCAGGTGGGTGTGTTGTGCAGTATGGGTGCATGCATTCCTGTGCTTCACTTGGAGGTCCACACAGTGGCTCTGGCACTCCGTGTATGCCAGGTGGGTGCGCTGTTCATCACTCTGTGTACGCACGTGGGTGTGTTGTGCAATGTGGGTGCATGCACTCCTGTGCTTGGATTAGAGGCTCATGGAATGTGGAGGGGCAGCTCGCCCCTCTCAAGCTGCCTGGCGACTGGGTCGGCATTGGCAGGTCCACGCAGTGGCTCTGGTGCTCCGTGTATGTCACGTGGGTGCGCTGTGCAGTATGGTTGCATCATTTGCAGGTCCACACAGTGGCTCTGGTTCTACGCCAGGTGGGTGTGTTGTGCAGTATGGGTGCATGCATTCCTGTGCTTCACTTGGAGGTCCACACAGTGGCTCTGGCACTCCGTGTATGCCAGGTGGGTGTGTTGTGTACCGTATTGTGGGTGCATGCAATCAAAGGCGTGGACTGGAGTCTCTTCCTAGCCTTAGCATCCTTGCAGCAGAAATGCCGCAGCACCTCACTTACCTATGCTTCCCCGTGTCTCACTCTCCTTGCAGTAAGCAAGTCAGTGCGAGGACAAGAGCCCTGGTGGTGTTTGATTGGATCAAATCGGCTCTGTTTGGCCGTGATTCAAGTCGCATGTGAATACGGTAGTGTTGTACTTGCTTGAAACTTACTTTGATGCTTAATTGGTTGGTTGATACTTAGTTGGATACGTCGGTGTATGGGGTAAACCCTGCGCTTATATCCGTTCCTCCATTGTAACCGCAAGCAATCTTGTGTATTACATTGTAAACGCATCTTCAGACACCCCCAATTCCATTAGTCTTTGATATGGTATCCAACCGATTTCCTGGTTGTTACAAGAACAGAAAGGATTTTGAACAGATGCTTCACATTCACATAACGTTGGATATCTCACGATAGTGGGCAGACATGCTCGATGGCCTCACATGGTGGTGGCAAGAATCACTGGTGGAAGCATGAGCATGGACAGAGCATCTGCCTGATGCACATGAAAACCATCTACGGTACAAGCCCATCCTCTCATGCACGCACTGCAGCACATGAATACATTTTCGTAAAATGCATCCACATGCTCTATCCAAAAACTGGTACCGGTGTCCCAAACTCACAACCAACCAAGCATCCTATGGCCGGCCGGCATGAATGCATGGTCATACAAGAGTGTCAATGAGGGAGGCGCGCATCTCATGCACCACGCTGGGAGCCACGCTCTCCCTCAGCTTGAACACGCTGTCAATCACCGACAGCTCCGTGGCTGTCGTGTCAAACCCTGCAAATGCCGCCCAGTCATTCGCCACGAGCCCCGCCCCCACCACCTCACTGCCGCGGTTCACTGTGCCGGCCACCAGCGGCACTTGTAGCAGCGATGACAGCTCATCGAGATCTTCCACTGATGTTTGCGGGTGCACCTGGTGGAATGGTAGTGGGCAGGTCACACACACACACACAGGGGCTATACGCATGAGCATAGGCGACCATGCACTTGGGTGGGACCATCCCGTGCACAGGAGATGTACGCGCGAGAGAGCTACTCCAACAATACAATACTCCGTTTTTTAAGCATCTAGAAAAACATTGTGGGTAGAGAGACGACTTTGTAGGCGCCTAAAAAGCCATGCACAGGAGATGTACGCGCGAGCCACTCCAACAATACAACACACCAGCACGGCTGTTGAGGTGCCTCGAAAGACAATATGGTACGTTACACCAGCATGCGAATACGGGGAGGCGCGAGAATAGACAAGCCCAGGGCTGTTGTGAAACATGGTGCTACAGACTGGCCGTGCACTGGAGTGGCATGGAGAAGAAGCCGCGGGAGGGAGTGCGATTGACTGACCAGGCCGCCCCAGTTGGTGACGACGCAGTAGCTGCCAACGCTACCGGCAATGGTTTGACAGAACAAGCTGACTTCTGAGTCAACTCAAAAGTCAACACGGAAAGGCAGTGAGAGTGCGAGTGACTGACCAGGCCGCCCCGGTTGGTGAAGACACAGTAGCTGCCGACGAGGATGTTGCCGGCGATGGTCTGACGAAACACCTCCACCCCCAACACGTCTGCTATGAGCTCCTCCGTCTCCTGGTGGTGGTAGCATGAGGTAGAGGGAGGCAGAGGGAGGAATGTCGTATGAGGCAGAGCAATGCAGCATGAGGAGGAACGGAGCAAGAGGCAGGAAGCGCAGTGGGCCGAGATGGTCTGGCGGAACACCTCCACCCCCAACATGTCCGCTATAAGCTCCTCCGTCTCCTGGTGGCCAGAGAGCAGCACGAGGCGGGGCACACAGAAGACACGGGGCACACAGAAGACACGGGGCACACAGAAAACACGGGGCACACAGAAAACACGGGGCACACAGAAGACACGGGGCACACAGAAAACACGGGGCACACAGAAAACACGGGGCACACAGGAGACGTGGGGCACACAGAAAACACCGGACAGAGGGAACACATAATGAGGCCATGGTCTGACAAAACACCTCCAACACTACTGGGAACTGGCAGGGGCGAGAATAACGTGAGTAAAATGGACGGCGATGTGGCAGGAAGGAACGCGGGTTCCGAAAGCAGAGTGAAGGCCTGCACGCGGAGGCGCAAGGAAAGAAAGGCCTGCAGGCGGAGGCGCTCAGGGAATACAAGCCAGAGTGAAGGGCTCATGTCTCACGTGCGTGAGATCACCCACTGAACAATCTCATCACTGCACTGCACCCATGCCATGCCTGCAATGGATGCGCACGGGCGGGCACGTGCACAAGAAACGTGGCAGAAAGATTTACAGATATATTGTGAAGGCATAAGAGCGGAATCAGAAGGTGAGGAGGCGAGTGGGTGGGCGCTCAGGGAATACAAGCCAGAGTGAAGGGCTCATGTCTCACGTGCGTGAGATCACCCACTGAACGATCCTCATCACTGCACCCCCATGCCACGCCTGCCTTCCCGAATCACGTGCATCTGGGCTCGGCTTGTCACCGCAAACAACAAATGCATCAGCAATGCACGCAGCGCAGAATCACAGTGGCCCGTCCAGTTGACCTACTCTGATTGGTCACCTGAGTTTCAGAGAAACGCGTCCAGAGCAATAAGTAGAAGGGTGAGCTTCACAGCGCGGTAGTGAACGTGAGAGTGAGTGATTGTAAGGTGGGATCGAAAGAGAACGTGCGAGGCGGAAGTAAGTGGAAAGGTGTCACTGAGTCACTCACTTTATCAAGGATTGCCAGGCAAGATAAGGCCTAAGGCCTTCCCTGGCGATAAGGCCTAGAACAGTACAGAAACACTGATGATCACAAGGCTGAAGTGCCTTGGTGAAGATATCAGCAGTGTTGGCCCGAGAGGCCACGTAAGCAAGACGAAGCTGTCCACGCTGCTGCAACTCTCGAGCAAGGAAGTAACGCAGAGCGATGTGCTTCGTCCTGTGCTCCAGTCTGTGCTCCTGACACAAGGCAATCATGGCCTTGTTGTCGACGTACAGAACTGGAGGAGAATGAGGCGGCTCGCCCAAGTCGGTCAGCAGGTAGGTGAGCCAGCGTAACTCCTGTGCAGCCATGGCCTCTGCGTAGATCTCAGCCTCACAACTGGAGCAGAGAACAGAAGACGAGCGGGTAGACCGCCAAGAAACAGAGCCGGAGCCAAGGCTGAAAGTGTAACCCTGTGACGACTGCTGTGTAGCCAAGTCGTCAACCCAAGAGGCGTCTGTGTGTCCAGTGAGGACAACTCGACCCCGTCCTCCAAGCACGAGCCCCATGCCCGACGTACTGCACAAGTAGCGCATCACCCTCTTAGCGGCCTTCCAGTGCTCTAGTAGGTGTCTCCCGGGGGCAACGTAGCGTGCCAGGATGCTAAGAGGGTAAGCAAGGTCAGGTCGAGTGCAGGTCATCAGGTACATGAGGCAGCCCACAAGCTTTGGATACGGGCCACTCGGCTCTACGGACTCGTCCGAAGGTGGAGCTGAGAGCGAGTGACCGGTAGGCAGAGGAGTGGACTGTGGCGAGGAGTACTCAAAGCCGAAGCGCTGAAGGACCTGCTGAACCATGTGTGACTGAGTCAAGGTAATGGTGTGCCGTGCTCTGTCCCGGGTGATCTGCAAGCCAAGATAGCTGCGCAACTCACCCAAGTCTATGCACGTGTGTCTCTTCTACAGCTCCGACTTCACTAGGGCCAGTCCCTCAGTGTCATCAGTGGCAAAGACCAAGTCGTTGACGTACACGAGAATGTAGAACGGCGGCAACGAAGTGTCAGCGCGTAGAAACAGCGACGGGTCAGCAGTCGAAGGAGCAAACCCAAGAGCCGCAAGCGTCGTCCTCAGTGTGTAGTGCCACTCGCGAGGCGCCTGGGGGAGACCGTAGACTGGCCGTCGGAGGCTCCAGTGGGTACCTGTAGGAAACGACCCAGTGAAGCCAGGTGGGCGGCGCAGCCAGATCTCCTCGTGCAGGCTGCCCTGTAAGAAAGCAGTGCTGAAGTCAAGAGAGTGAAGCTCGTAGTCACGCTGAGCGGGGACGTGCAGCAGTACCCAAAAAGTGGTCATCTTCGGGGTAGGGGAGAAGGTTTGAAAGAAGTCAACTCCCTGTCGCTGTCTGAAGCCTCGTGCAACGTAACGCGCCTTGAAGACAGGCGGAGATCCCGGCGGCCGTTTCACCCTGAAAATCCACATGCCACTGGCAATGTTCGCCCCAGGTGGGGGAACCTCGATGACGTAAGTGCCTGTGGACTTCCAGGATGCCATCTCTGCGTCCATGGCTGTCTGCCACTGAGAGGAGTAGGGACCCTCAATCGCCTCTGCGTAAGAGCGCGGGGTCGGGATGTCTGGTGCATCCGGGTCTCCCTCAGGTGCAATCAGCATGGACACGAGATGAGGTACAGCAGCTGCAAAACACTCAAAGTCCTCATGCCTGTCCTCAAGGACGTCCGTGCCAAGAGCACATTCACCCCCGACAGACGGAGGACACGCAGACTCAGACTCAGCAACAAGACTAGCGGCCTAGTCGAGGCGACAAGCGGCAGCAAAGTCAACAAGCTCACCAACTAGGGCAGACGCGACAGTGGACTCAAACGAAGGGTCAGTGACAACAGTGGCTAGAAGACGTGTGTTTGTAGGACTGGCAGCACGAGCAAGGTCGGACGCATGGTCAGGAACGTCAGGAAGAGAGGACGCATGAGGAGACGGCAGAGGGACACGCTGTGGACCAGAGGAAGGACGAAGTGCCATCTGGTGCGTGCCAGGGACAGGAGGAGGACGCTGGCGTGGGACACGACGACCAGTTCGGACAGCTCGAACAGGCGAGGCAGGACGAGACGCAGGCTCACGACGCTCTGTAAGACCTCCTGTCTGCTCAGTGTAAGGAGAAGGAGCAGGCAATGGGGAGGCTGGCTGTAACTGCGACTGCGACTGGTCAGGCGGTGGACACAGTAAGGGAGGAGTAAGGCCAGTAGAAGGCGGGAGACCAAGAACCTGCTGAAGTAGTGGAACGAAGTACGGTCGCGGCCGCACAGCACCAGCACCAGCACCGACAGCACCAGCACCCCCAGGGCCAGCACCTCCATCTCCAGGGTCTCCAGCTCCAACGCCTGCAGCACCACCAGCTTCAGCAGCTCCAGCACCTCCAGTACGAGTACCTTCGGGACCAGCGGCTCCAGCACCTCCAGCAGCTCCAGCACCTCCGGCTCCAACGTCTGCAGCACTACCAGCTCCAGCACCTCCAGTACCTCCAGTACGAGCACCTCCGGGACCAGTGGCTCCAGCGGCTCCAGCACCTCCAGGACCAGCAGCTCCAGCTCCAGCGGCTCCAGCTCCAACTCTTGCAGCACCTCCAGCTCCAGCAGCTCCAGTACCTCCAGTACGAGCACCTTCGGGACCAGCGGCTCCAGCACCACCAGCAGCTCCAGCCCCAGCGACTCCAGCTCCAACGTCTGTAGCACCTCCAGCTCCAGCAGCTCCAGTACCTCTAGTACGAGCACCTCCGGGACCAGCAGCTCCAGTGCCTCCAGTTCCAGGGCCTCCAGCGGCAGCCCCCCCAGCTCCAGCAGCGCCGATCAAACCACTCGCACAGCTGCGGTGGAGAGAGAGGCTCCCGCCGTGACGAGACACCCGTAGGACCTCCAGCAGACAAAGTACCTCCAGACTCAGCACGCTCAGGCTCAGCACCCCTAGGCTCAGCACCCCCAGGCTCAGCACCCCCAGGCTCAGCACCCCCAGGCTCCGCACCCTCAGACTCAGCAACCCCAGGCTCAGCACCCGCAGGCTCAGCACCCCTAGGCCCCGCACCCGCAGGCTCAGCACCCCCAGACGCAGCACCCCTAGCAGCATCACAGTCGACAGCTACCTCGACAGGCTCGACAGGGTCTACCTGGGACACACCTAAGGGAGCAGGACCCTGAGGGGGGAGGGGGTCTACCGGAGGAGGACCTGGTGCGAGGAAGAGCGGCGGGGGGGGGAGAGGGGCAGTGCGATAGGGGAAGAGACGGTAAAAGGGAACCGACTCGTCAAACGTGGCGTCCTGAGAGCGCAGGACACGGCGCGAGGTGGGGTGGTAAAACTGCCAGCCAGGCGCGTCAGGGGGAAAGCCAAGGAAGACACAGGGAATGGCGCGGGGGGAGAGCTTGTCCGCGAAAGTATCGCGGACAAAGGCACGAGATCCCCAGACCCGGAACACCGACGCATCGCCAACCTCTCCCGTCCAACGCAGTGTCGGCGAGGTCTCCGGCAAGGAGACACGGGGCCAGAGGTTGAGTTGATGCGCAGCGTATCAGACCGCAAACGGCCACAGAAAATGGGGGGCAGCCGCATGGATCATGGAGGTAGGAGCGACCTCCATGACTAAGCCAATGCGGCGCTCAGCAACCCCTTTCTGCTGCGGAGAGTCCGGAAGCGTGAACGTCTGGCGAATGCCCTCCCCACGACAAAAGTCCCGCAAGAGGTCGGAGGAAAACTCACCACCTCTGCCAGAGTGCAGACGCAGGACTGGAAGGTCCGCCTCGAACCGCTCGCGGAGCTGGAGACGGACAGCGCGGATCCAAGGGATCAAAACATCAGGGACCTCCCCCTTTCTGCGCAAGGGGAAGACCGTGGTGTAACGCGTGTAGTCGTCAACAACCAGCAAAAAGTAGCGCTCGCGGCCCTGTCCACGGACACGGGCTGGGCCCCACACGTCCATGTGGAGAGTCTGCAGGGGAGCAGTCGTCGGGGGAAATGAGGAGGAGTGAGGAGCGGCGCGCTGCCACCCCTCGACACAGGGAAGGCAGGGAGGGGCAGGCGAGGGTGGGAGGGGAGGCAGAGACCTGGGAAGACCAGAGACAAGGAGACATGAGTGCATGCCACGGAGGCGTGGCACGGAAGGGTGACCAAGGCGGTGGTGCCAAAGGAGCGTCTTGTGCGACAGGGCACGACACAATCAGGGGGCCGACAGCTGACCTGACGCAGACGCAGACGCAGCTACCTGGGAGGCACAGTAGTCAGTGTGTACAGACTCGACCTAGGCCGACGGGTGAACGTGGCCAGGTGCCGGCCAGTCCGGGAGCACATACAGATCGCCACACGCTGTCCTCCAGGGGTGAAGGTATCAACCCACTCATCCTGGAGGATGGCGTTGCTCACCAAGTTCGTAGAGAACGAGGGGAGGTGAAGACCTGACAGTGAGCCAGACGGAACCGCCGGACACGGGAGA